GTACAATTATCTGATTCTCATTTGTAAATTCATTAAAATATTTTACATTGCGTATAGACTGAAGGTGGGCCCTCCTTTTTTATATATCCTGCTAGGAATGACATTTTAGCCATTTGCCAAACTAAGCCTTAAAACTAAAGGCGAAACTCTTCTTTGAAGATGACAAATTACTTCTTGGTTCCTCAACAGAATCATCTTCAAAAATGTCCTGATGGAAAAGTGTCAGCTGTAATCCAACTGCTTTGCTCAAGTACATACACTGTAGTTCTTCTGCTAATTTGCTCTTTCTTATCTTTGTTGCATAACTCACTGTATAACAGATTTGGCAAGATGCTGGGACCTCCCTACCACAAGGCCAGTAATCCTCAGAAGCCCTGAGTGTCTTGAAGAAACTGGCTCAAATGTAAGAAGTTAGAATCTTTTTGTGCCTAGAACCTTTTGCAAAAAATAAACTAAAGCAGATCAATTTACTATGCTTCTCTCAGCTCTTTTACCAGTGAGATATGAAAGTGAGACCAACAAGAATTACATAAGCTCTGTGGATGTCAGCAGTGGAAGGGTGTAGCTCATTTTGAAATTAGAGTAGGCATTGATGTTGAAGGAGTGTGGCAGGTTCTCTTACTGGAATGATTAACATTAAAGGTCACGTTTTTAGCTTAGTGAGGCAAATGCTATTTACTGCCTCCTATGGTCAAAGCACTTAAGAGGGAGGCTTTAAATGAAGGGAGAAAGGCCAAAATAGGAGTCATATATTAAAATAGAAAAAATATCAACGTGGGGAAAGAGGACTTGAAACAAATTTTTTAAAACTATTTAACATGAAATAGTCAATTGAGAATGACCAGAGAATCTATACATTAATGAAGACACAATCATTTAACAAAGTTTGTGACTCCTCTTCCCCCACCCCCCCGACAAAAAAAACAGCACAAAATGAAATCTTACACCAAATTTAAAACTTGCAAATGCTGTAGGCACTGACTGTGTACCTGTTGTAGTCTTGGCCAGAACTATACTGTTTCTCAATTATAGTCTCTTGACCTTCTGCCCAATGCCTTAATCATTTTGTTCCTTGACTGCTCCACTGCTTGTCACACTTCAGACTCCTTTTAATATCTTCCAGCCACAGTCACTCTAGTTGGCAGTCCATAAAACAATTTATATCCCTTCTCCATGTTCATGTCAAATTTGGAAGTCCCAGATACTTTAAAAGGGTGGATGCCTCCTGGGCTGTAATGACTCAGTGCATGTGCAGTGACTGATTTGATATTTGTATAGTTACATTTTGTAAAGCAAAAGCAAGCGTAAAACACCATTCTGATGTCTGCAACATTTTGTACAGGTCTGCGTAAGTTATATCTGCCTGAATCAGAAGGCATCAAATAATCAGGACTTTACATCTCCCTAATTTCCAGTGGAACCCTGTAGTAATCCTTGGGCATTTATACACATGCTCCGGGAGGCGTTGGGGCTGGGTGCTTTAATTAGTACAGCTCCAAGAGCCACATTAATTCAAAGTACCAGGAGTGTCATGTGTATCAGCTTTCCCACACTGAAAAATGGCTGTGGGGTGCTTTGAACAAAGATCAAACAAGCTTTAGTTTAAAGTAGCCTGTGACCATTTTTCAGCGCAGGAATGCTGCTGATACACATGACACTGGAGGCTACTGGAATGCATTAATTTCCACACTGTAGTAGACTTGATTGAGTCTGCTGATGCGCTGGAATTACAGCACATTCAGAGCAGGCTCCCTGCAGGTGTATAGGAGCCCCCCTGTTAGTTAACTATATTAGAAAAGTATCTCCCTCCCTGCTCCCCCCCAGCAATTCTAACTTTATAAAGAAGTAGCAAAGCTCTCAGAAGTTAAATGCAAGATTGCTTTAGATCACCAAAAGCCATATTCTCAGTTGGGGTAAATCTTCATTGTTCTGTTGATAAATGGAGTTAAAGTAATTTTTACAAGGCAAAGTTCTGATCCTCTCTCTCCATAATCTAACTGCCATCTTTGTCTTCCTGTTTCACTTTGCTGGCATTATATATTTTGTTTACAAAAACTCCTCCTCCCCAGCCTGTCTCTCCCTCATATTTTGTGTGTGTGCATCTACACATGCAATTAATGCAGCCAAATAAACTCCAGCAAAATTTGTGCCAGATTTTATTGCTCCCAGGCACTGTGTTTGCATATGTTGAGCCAAGGCAGAATAGCCTTAACCTGCCAACCCAGGGCTGGTCTAACCCACCTCAACATGCTATGGATGGGTTGGCTGGGGCACAAGGGTGCTTTAGTGCAGGGCTAGCCAGCAGGCAGCCCCTGCACTGAAGCACCATCTTCCCTATCCAGCCCCATCAGCATCTACACATGCATTGCAGAGAAGTTTTATGATAGGATAGTACTGCCACATACAAGTACTATGGTGGAGTTGATTAGTTTTCTCCATCCTAATGGCACCACAGATGTAGATCGTGACATTTTACTGTGGAGCTAATTGGTCAACTCTGCAGTAAACTTCTCATGTAGATGCACCCTGGCAGGCTCCCATCTGGGCACTATTTATTGTCATTAGTCTTACCTTTCCCCAAGTCCCTAAAGCTCTTGTCCACTCACTTCTTCAGAATGTTTGTTCTACCATGGGATTACATAACTAACTTCCTTTTGCAAAGATTCTTTTTATCTTTTCCAGTCAAAAGTCTAAGACAAGATTTCTGGTTTTTATCCTAAAATGTACCCAGACGTGTTAAATCAAATATGGCCCTACCAAGGGAATGTTGAAATTATTTCTATTTCTTAGGCTGTTTGCAGTGCATATTCTTTGTATATTTTTCCACTTCTTCCCTGTAAGAGGGCTGAGGTTGTGCATCTCTTCCATTTCCTTCCTTACCTTTTCTATAACTTTGATATCAATCCCAATTAACTTTCACCCATGCCTCCAAGTTCCATTAGTTATTCCCATTTCACCCACTGCCTTAATGGAGTGTAAGGCTATTGCTATCTAGGCTCCATCCCTCCCAAAATCCTTGCATGTGTATAGTACATCCCATGGTGGTCATGATGCCCCCTGGTAGATCCTCAGCCTTTGCCAACCTGGTTCCCTTTGGGGGCCTCTCCCTTTTACATGCTCACCACACCTTGATGTTATTGGCTTCTGATGAAAGGGAAGCTGCCCCAGGGCTTCCAAAGCATAGTCTTGCCATTACAACCACAGGTGCCTATGGTCATTACCTTAATAGCTAATTTCATAGGCTCCTTCATCCCCAATACCTACCCCATGCTTTGCATATAATCTCCCAACACACTCTCCTCCTGGTCTATAGGCTGCCAGCCCTAGTTGTCACCCTCCTGAGCTACAGGTTCCTTAGCTCCCTCAGTCTCCAGCTGTGATCTTGTCTTTAGCTTATCCATTCCAAGGCCCTGGTCCTGCTCCTAGGCCAAATGCAACTCCTAGGCTCCTCTGGCCCTACCAGTCTCTAGCTGTGGCCCTGCTCAGCCTTTGGCCTATCTCTGGACCCTGGCCCAGCAAGATCTTCAGGTTCCCAGACCCTGTGGACACCTGTCCCTCCTGGGCTACCAACCGCTGAGCTCTCTGACCCTGCTGACAGTGCTGTCTCTGGGCTCAGGACCTCTGGCCCCCACACTCAGCCCTCTGACAGTCTTCCAGGCACCAGAGGGTCCCTCTATGCACCCTAATCCCTCCCAAGCACTGGATCCTCCTGGTCCCCCACCACTTGCCCTCAACACCCCCTAGCACCAGGCCTTCTCCCAAGTACCTAGTTCCTCCTGGGCTCAAGCTCTGTCTCTCTAGGCCCTAGGCCCTCTATCCTTCTGACCCCCCTTTCTCTAGGCTAGTTGGGACTTCCATACCTCCCCTCCAGTCCCTTCCACAACTGCCAATCATTAACTGCATTAACGTGTGGCTGGGTAACTACTTAAGATATGATTAGAGTCCTAAAGGAACTGGCTGGGGTCATTGCAAGTCCCCTGGCACGGCTTTATGAACACTCGTGGTGCTCTGGAGAGGTGCCGGAGGACTGGAAGAGGGCCAACGTGGTTCCCATCTTCAAAAAGGGGAGGAAAGAGGACCCGGGGAACTACAG